GCAAGCAACAATAACAGCAGCAACAGTTCAATTTCTTGTTTGAATGCCTGAAAGATCTGTCCTGTCCTTTAACCTGTAATCCACCACACCAATTTCCAAACCTCTGAAATCTCCTATTCCTGCCTTTTGAACATTATCCACTTATGTCAACCAGATTGGCACCTGTGTTATTATCATCTCCTCCCTCAGTACAAGAGCAGGTCCCCCGACAGAAGCCTTTTTGCATCTTCACCTTTAACACTCTCCTTAACATCGATCATTTTGAGTAGTTTTGTCACCTTCTTTATTTTCCTTTGTCTTTGTCACATTTTCACCTGTTCCTGCCTGTGACTAATCCAAAAGATGCATTTTCTTGGATCAGAAACTATATCAATGATGCAGGAACTATCTAAGTGAAAATTGGGGATGCTGGATTGTTTGGCATTTAATTTACATCCTAGAATTACCAACTTTTTACAAACAAGTTGTGATGACCAGCTGTCAAATGGAAACTTTCACTGATCTCTCTTTCCCCTCCTACTGCTCGACCTGCTGGGTATGATGTGCTTTTATTTCAGATTTTAAGCTTCTGCAATACTTTGCTCTTGCTCTGCAAAAACAAAATTGTAGGATCCAAATCTGGATTGATGACAATTGTTCATGAGGATCACTGGCCCTGTCAGATACAAAGCAAATGTTCCCTTAGATGAAGATTTTTTCAAAAAAAAGTGACACAAGGAATTGTAATTTGGAGTCATTAAGGCTAACGCAACTTAAAAAAAATTGGAGATAGTAGGAACTGCAGATGCTGGAGAATCCGAGATAACAAGGTGCAGGGCTGGACCGAAACGTCAGCCTCTCTGCTCCTATGATGCTGCTTGGCCTGCTGTGTTCATCCAGCCCTGCACCTTGTTGTCTTGGAGATAGTAGGAACTGCCAATGCTGGAGTCTGAGATAACAAGGTGTGGAGCTGGAGGAACACAGCAGGCCAGGCAGCATCAGAGAAGCATGAAAGTTGATGTTTCGGGTCAGCTATCTCTGAGTTTTTCATTAACGTTGCTCACTGTTGTAGTAATATAGGAAACGCGTCAGCCAGTATGTGGACTGCAAGCTCCCGCACGCAATCATGTGATAATGAGCAATTTTTTTTTGCAATGTCGATTCAGCGAAAAGTATTAGCCAAAACACCCTCCACTTCTTTGAAATAGCGTTATGGGCAGGGTGATGATATTTGTGCGGCAAAAATAAACCCGAACAGCTTTAATTAAAATGTGCAGCAGGAAAAGCATTATGCCTTTAAGTACGAGGCGGAGTGTGTACTCGGAGAGTCCCGCCCCTTCTTGCCGATCTGCGCAGTATTGACAAGTGCTCGAATCAAATCGCAAGAGGCTGTACAGACACAAACAGGATAAGCTCCGGCGGCAATGGAGATCGCAAGCCCAAGCAGCAGCCGCCGCTGGGAGGCTCCGGCCTGCGCCGTGAAGAAACCTCTGTACGCCATCGTTTGGCTGCTGAGCGTGTGGGCTCGGCAGTGCCGGGCGGATAGCGCCATGGAGGAGATCGCTACAGAGAAAGAGGCGGAAGAAAGCCACCGGCAAGACAGCGCTAATCTGCTGCTCTTCATCCTGCTCCTGACACTCACCATCCTCACCATCTGGCTCTTCAAACACCGGCGCTTTCGGTTTCTCCACGAGACTGGGTTGGCAATGATATACGGTAAGGACACATTAATTTGATCCTCTTTTGTGTATCAAAATAAATGCTTCTGTATTTGGAACGTGAAGTCGTCCATTGTTACAACACGCGTGTGGTAACAATTTAGAACCTTGCGCATACAATGTATTTGTATGAACATTCGAACGTGTTGATTTCGATTCAGGCTGGAATGTCATGTTGCCATTTCAATTGTCTTTTTGTGAATTGGACTGAAACTGACGAGAGCCCGAACCTGAGCGGCCCGAGGATGTGTGACAAACCCCGCCTCTATTTCCCCATACGGCTCACGATTGGTCTATTGGGTCATAGCCGCCGCTCTGATTCGCCGCTGACCCAACGTCAATCATTTTCGCGTACCTAGCCGGTTCCACGTTCCAAGTTCGGCCGCCTCAGTTGCTGCTGCATCACAGTGTTGCTCGGAGCTACTGCAACCCTCTTTACTTCTGATTATTCATAGATCGTTTCAAAAAATAAACGGCGTGGTAACTGCGCATTGTTTTTTTTTCATTAGGTAACTGTGAGCATTGGTTTTTTTTAACATTCAACTACGAAACGCTTGGTAGGTTTTGCACCACAGACTCAAAGATGAAGCTTGTCCTATCGGGTTTTTTTAAAAGACTTAACGTTAAATACAATCATCACGGGATTAAGAAACTTGACACGTCTTTGGCTTCCACGTATTCCCTTTTACCTATTTATTTTCACGAAAATGTCTCCAGTTGTATTGGGCTATATACGTATCAATGTTAGCAAATTGTCTGTGGCAGGTAAACACCACTTCATGTGGAGCCAAAAACATCATCTGCTTGGCTGAGCCAGACCTCAATGGAGGAGTCAGACAAGCAGGCCCGAGTTAATGAGTGTGGGATTTCTAGTGATGCTGCATGTTGGAACAGAAACACCAAGATTAATGGAATTGTGAAGCAGGAGTTCAATTATTTCAATTTCTTCTAATGTGTGTCCTTCTGCCCCCTTACTGTTTTAGTCAAATACTGGACAGTGCAAAATAAATCTAGGAATAAAAGCAGAACCACCAGCATCAGATGGAGACCTTTCGTAGAGCGGATCGGCTTGGACCTGTTGGTGGCATTTGCGTGGGAGGGTTATAGGCTGGGGAGCTACAACCATACGTGATCCTGGCTGTTACTCCAGTGCACAAACAGAGCGAAGCATTGTCAGAGGAACTGTTTTTAAGTTGGTATTAAATCAGTATAGACTTGAAAGATTTCATGTTGAGGACTGCAAGAAAATGTGGAGTTATTACAGTTACTTGGCCAACATCCCTCCTTCAGTCTTTACCACCAACAAAACAGATGGACCAGCCAGTCATCGCATTATGTGCTGGCACCAAATAGCTGCAGTACTTTCTGACATAACGTCTGCACTCCGAAAAAATAATTATGTGAAGTGTGTTGAGGTGGTTTAAATGTGATGAAACACTAAGGAAAGTTATTTTGTTTTGAAGTTGGGTTTTTTTTTTCCCCACTTCAGTAGTATCTTAACTCCATCATTTGGGAAGTAGCAGGTCACCAGCCAGCCTCATGTGCCAAATTTGCATGATTTGGGTACATGGTAGAAATGCTGGTGTGCGTTATTCTGTTTGTTTTATTTTGTAAGCAGCATTTAAGGAAGTAAACAAATGTCTATTTAAAACAAAATGTTTTGATAAATGAACATTTGACTAGAATCAGACAAATGAGACCAAGACCATTTTCACTTTGTGAAATTGGGTAAATTGCTACGTTTTCTGGGATTTCTCAAGTGATGTGATGGATTGAAAAGCCACTTTCTGTATTGCAAAGCTCCAGGATTCCATACGTTTGAGATTTATACCTGAGTCTAACAACATTATTTTTAAGTATACAGTGGGATGTGGTGATCTGTTCGTAGAGAACGGCTGTCACTCTTTACACAAATTGGGATGTCTACCTGTTTTGTTACAAAGGAACTGGTGTCATACAGCAGTTTTTGTATTTCGTAGAAGTTACACTATCTAATCTCGGAGGATATACTATTCTAGTGTACAACTGCATAACAGGTGCATGTGATGTTCCTCTGCAGCAAACAAACCAAGCAATTACTCAGTATAGTGCTGTTCAGCTGGAAAAATGCCTGTTTATTGTTCTGCTAGATTTGGATGATTTTACTGAATTAAGAGTGATTCATTGACTGACTGCCATTTGTACCTTTTTCATTTTCTTAATGTTATCCTGAGAGTGCATTTTTTTTTTTCCTTTTGGCATAATTCCTGTTGCAAGAATTGGAAATAAATGGTCTACTTTTATATACACTGCCTTCACTAGTTAGTGTTTGATGTGATGATCTGTTATGCACTGTCACTGTGCCATTAACTATCTGGAAAATAGTTTTCCAGTTGATAAGTAATGAGTTAGCTGTGATTAGTTAGAAATAGGAGAGCTACTTAACACCTGGGAGGGTAGTTGAGGCAGAAAACCTCACAGCCATCAAAAAGTACTTGAGTGTATTAACATTTAAGGCTATGCGCCTCATGCTGGAGGTGGGTTCAGTGTAGATTTAGTGCAGCTTTTGGCTATGCAGACTTGTTGGGCCGAATGGCCGCTTCTGTTCTGTATGATTCACTGATTCTCTGATCTCCCTTGGCATTGCTCATGGGGAGTTGGAGAATGATGCTGTGGCTGATTTTTTTTTTGTAAAAACTTTTTTTTTCAGCAAAATGTTACTTGTGAATGTCAAATATGCCTTGTACTCAAATTGCTTTGTAGGTAATTAAGCACAATACCATGTAAAGCAGGCTGGAAACATCTGTCCCTTTTTTTTCTCCTGTGGATGGAAAATGTATATATTGTGGCTATTAAATCTGGGTTTAATCATGGACCCGTTTTAAACATGGTTTGACAGATGTGCTAACAAGATGAAAATGTGTGGAACCGTTATATTTTTGGAGGGAGGGAAACTGATGCATTTAAATACTTGCCCAATTATAGTGGAAAGCCAGGAGTTAGTAAGGTGAAGTTCAGCTAATTGTAAAAATAATTTTAAAAGTGTTGTCTTTAATTCTCAGGCTGGCGGTGTGAAGTTCTTGTAGCTTTTTGTGTAGTGCGGTCTGTTGCAGCTGTTGATTTGACTTGTACTTTGTCCTTTGGAAAAACTAGCCTGTTGAGGGTAACTTTGCTCATGGTAGGATAAAATTGTCTCTGCATTAGATTTCAGTTTTGAATCAATATGATCTATGGAGCTTTGTAATATATTGACAGCAGACTGTCACAAGTGACATTCACAGTAATCTCCTCCTACCGCCCCCTTGAAAGACCTCCCTGGACCTCTTCATCTCTAACTGCCGTCGCAACATCAATTGCCTCAACCTTTCCACCCCTCTCTCTCACTCCAACCTCTCCCCCACAGAACGTGCAGCCTTCTGCTTCCTCCACTCCAACCCTAACCTCACTATAGAACCCGTGGACGAGGGAGGCACAGCTGTGGTATAGCGCACTGACCTTTACATCGCCGAGGCCAGGCGCCAACTCTGACGCCTCCTCCTACCGCCCCCTTGGAAGAGACCTCCCACCCACTGCGTCCAGCCTCATCGTTCCCCAACCCCGCACCGCCCGTTTCTATCTCCTTCCCAAAATCCATAAACCCCACTGCTCTGGTTGACCCGTTGTCTCTGCCTGCTCCTGCCCCACCGAACTTATCTCTACCTATCTTGACTCCACTTTCTCCCCACTGGTCCAGGAACTCCCCACCTACGTCCGGGACACCACCCACGCCCTCCACCACCTCAAACTTCCGATTTCCCTGGCCCTCAACACCTCATCTTCACCATGGATGTCCAATCCCTGTATACTTGCATTCCCCATGCAGATTGCCTAAAAGCCATCCGCTTCTTCCTGTCCCGCAGGCACGACCAGTCCCCCTCCACCGACACCCTTATCCACCTAACCGAGCTTGTCCTTACCCTTAACGCCTTCTCCTTCAACTCCTCGCACCTCCTACAGATGAAGGGGGTGGCCATGGGCACCTGCATGGGCCCAAGCTATGTTGCCTCTTTGTAGGATATGTGGAACAGTCCCTCTTCCGCGGCTACACTGGCACTATCCCCCACCTTTTCCTCTGTTATAACGATGACTGTATCGGCGCCGCCTCGTGCTCCCACGAGGAACTCGAACAGTTCATCCATTTTACTAACACCTTCCACCCCAACCTCAAGTTCACCTGGACCATCTCTGATACCTCTCTCTCTCCTTCCTGGACTCTTCTGTCTCCATCTCTGGTAACCGCCTGGAAACTGATATCTATTTCAAGCCCACCGACTCCCAAACCTACCAAGAATACACCTCCTCTCACCCACCTTCCCGCAAGGATGCGATCCCCTATTCCCAATTCCTTCGCCTCTGCCGCACGTTCCCCTCCCGGACATCCCAGATGTCTTCGTTTTTCAGGGGCCGCAATTTCCCCCCCACAGTGGTCGAAAATGTCCTCTATCGCATCTCTTGCGTTTCCCACACCTCAGCCCCTCCCCGCAATAAAAACGAAGACAGAATTCCCTCGTCCTCACATATCACCCCATTAACCTCCGGATTCAATGCATCATTTTCCGCCACCTGCAATCTGACCCCACGACGTAGGATATATTTCCCTCCCCATCCTTAACTGCCTTCCGGAGGGACCGCTTTCTTCACGACTCCCTCGTCAGCTCCACACTCCTCACTAGCCCCACCACCCCCGGCACCTCTCCCTGCAAACGCAGGAGGTGCTGCACCTGCCCCTACAACTCCCCTCTCTCCTCCATCCCAGGCCCCAAGAAAACCTTCCACATTAAACAGATGTTCACCTGCACATCCGTTAATGTGGTCTCTTCTACATCGGGAGACCAAGCGGAGGCTCGGAGACCGCTCAGAGAACCTACGCTCGGTTCGCGACAAACGACAACACCTTCCAGTCAGGAACCACTTCAACTCCCCCTCCCACTCCCTGGACGACATGTCCACCCTGGGCCTCCTCCAGTGTCACAACGATGC